ACGAATGCGGAAATCGTAAAGCAAGTGCATCGAATCGTTTTGAGTGATCGTAAAGTGAAATTGCGCTAGTTAGCTGAGGCCGTGGGCATCTCAAAAGAACGGGCGCGATGCATTTTGCACGATCTTTTGGAGATGAAAAAGCTATCGGCGCGATGGGTGCCGCGTTTGCTGACCGTCGACCAAAAACAGCAGCGCATTGATGATTCAACGGCCGGTTTGGCGTTGTTGCAGCGTAATCGAGCGGACTTTTTTTGACGTTTTGTAATGATGAATGAAATGTGGGTCCATTACCATACGTCTGAGTCCAATAGGCAGTCTGCAGAGTAGTTGGAAAGCCACGAAAGCCGACCAAAGCGGCCAGAAGACCAACGTTCGGCCGGGAAGGGTATGGCCTCCGTTTTTTGGGATGGGTGGCACCCAGTTGTACACGGCTCAATTGAACACGAGCCACTCACAACGCCTGAGACTACAAAGCTCCTAAGCACCGGTCGCTGTGATTGGTGGTGTCCAATCGAGCCGTGATCAATCGGGATCACCCCTCGTAGAGCACGTAGAGAAAAAACAAAAATACTTTCATTATATATTCCGAGCGGATGCAATCGATTGAGCACACTTAGAACTCAATCGGGAGAGCCGTTATTGAGATCCCATAATCGCCGTTTGGAAATCTTGACAGATTCGCGTAAAATGGTCACGGCAGTGTCGCTGCGCTTGGCTTAGCACTGAGACACTACCAGTGTCTCCAGATTGTCAATAGAGTACTAAAGCATCTCAGAGCGTTACAGGCGGTAAAAAGGCCAACTGATAAATGGGATGATTTACTGGTGCACATCGTTACTAATAAACTCGATTTCATAATCACTAAAGAATGGGAAAACAGCTTACAATCAAAGCAAATACCGAAATTCTCAGAGCTTATGGTGTCAAACTTTGGAAGCAGTGGCTAGGAGAAGTCAATCGACACTATCAAATAATAATTCAGTAAAAACTACAACCGTTCATACAGCAATAGCTAACATCAAATGCATTCATTGTAAGGGCAACCATCAGATCTATCAGTGCAGGTTGTTCAAAGAACTTTCAGTAGCTGAGCAAGGAAATAAAATTAAAACTAAAAATCTATACTGTAACGTCCGGTGCGCCTACAAAATAGC